TTTAAAGCATGTTGTGCTGATTTTTTCAGCACAAAGACACACAGGCAGGCTTTTTAGGTGCTGAGCAAGCCTCCCCAAGCCTCTTCAGAGCCAGCCCATCAGCCGATAGGCGGGGAGAGGAGGGTGCAGGAGCGGGGGAAAAACACAAAATGGCTGCCAAGCTCCCTTCTGGGTGTCGGCTTTTAACTGTTTCCTGTTTTTTTTCCTGCTGTTTGGGAGCTGTTTTACGGCATGTTCAGCCATTGCGGGTTTTTTCAGTTGTTTTAGTTTTCAGTGTTCTTCATGTTCTTTGATTCTGGTGTGGATGCTGTGTTTTGTGGTTCCAGTATATACCTGGCCCATAACTGCAAGGTATCCGGTATAGTCCTGCAGTGGTATTTGTCCTGAAAAGGACAAAAGCTGATCCCACAGCGATAAATAACTATCCAAACAAACTGCACCGGAACACAGACAGAGTACTGACCCCTATCCTTTGAAGATGTCTGCCACAGAGACTGGCAAAATGTTAGGAAGAACAACTTTCAGAACACGGCTGAAAAACCCACAACAGCCATAATAAAGAGTAAGTTCTGTTGGACTTAGCCCAGAACCAACTCAGTCATCAATCCAAGAGGAAAAACAAAATACATAGTATGCTACTTGACCCTGGTGCTGCTCAGAACTATTACTGCCACATAATGCGCTAATAGAAATTTCTGGAAACTTTTCAAAGGCAGCCCTATCTAAAGTGCATCAATACTAGTCCAGTCTTTAGGTACATAAATCAAATGCCATCATGGTCAGATCTGCTTTTTCAGTTAGAGACACAGTTATTACATTTATGTATTCTTAAGTACACTCTTTGCCATCTGCGTATCCCATAGTCTACTCTCAAATAGATAGGGATACCTGTCCAGACAGTGTTTGCTTCATGGGTTAGAGTTAGATTCTGTCAATCAGACCATCATTTGTTGCAAGCATTGTGCATGACTTTGTGGATCTCCCTATGAAATATAAATGCAACATCTCCAACATTTATCCTCCCCAAAACCTGAGATAAGCAAGCTATTCTTTGAAATGGGTTTGGTTGATGCTGATGCTTTCACATTCCAAACAGTTTAGTGATCATGAGCAAATTTGATAAGCTGAAAGTAGAAGCTCTGAGGCTGTACATGTTGTGCATGTAGAAAACAAACATATTCAAAATGGGCTTGTAATGGTTCTTGGACTGTATACATGCAGTTCTCAAAAAGTGAGGAGTGCAAGTAGGTAAACACTTAATACCGATAATAGTTCTTAAGCTGTACATGGACCTATTCTTAGTGGTTTTCTGTTTATAACATCCAGAGAACCTGGGTCCTTTTAAGGAGTAAGGTGGAGTTAAAATATTTTAAATAAATAAACAAATTCCAGTTGAACAGTATAACTGATAGCAAAAATACCCTCTCGGCTTTCTTTGATCAGAAACATAGTTATCTAAGTAAAAAGCAAACCATTTATGTAAGCATTCACACACAAGAGAGCAGTGGCTTGGGTATAACATCCAGAGAACCTGGGTCCTTTTAAGGAGTAAGGTGGAGTTAAAATATTTTAAATAAATAAACAAATTCCAGTTGAACAGTATAACTGATAGCAAAAATACCCTCTCGGCTTTCTTTGATCAGAAACATAGTTATCTAAGTAAAAAGCAAACCATTTATGTAAGCATTCACACACAAGAGAGCAGTGGCTTGGGGACACTTTAAGAGAGAGGGCTTTTAAACCTCTCAGTGAGCAAATGTTGAAGGAATATTCAAGGTAGGGGGACACCATTAGGTTCTGGACTGAGGGGATGGAGGGGAAAGTTGGGGAAGGAAGATATGTGTGCCTGAACGGAATGGTTATCAAGCACACCACAGCACTTGATTGTATATCTCACTTGTTTTTGTATTCTCCTGTGCAGAAGGTAAAGCTAAAAATTTGTCTTTAGTCCAGGATCACCAAGTGACTATCATGGGTGAATCAAGATTTGCCTTCCTTTCTCACCAGATGAATTATAACAAGCTGTCTCATTGTAAGACAGCAGCTTCTGGTATAGGTCTTTTAGTGGCAATAATGGAAAGCTGGTAAATTCTTCCTCTTCTCCCCTTTTTTACAGAAAGTGCTTCAGACCAAGAAAGAAGCAGTAATCAAGAAAACAGTAGCCAGAATGCCTGTACATGCTGTCATTCCACTCTTGCATGAGGTAAGAGATATCTTATATTAGTCACTGTAATCACAACTTTATGTTAGACTTCTTTTTCAGACAAATCAAATGCAAATTAGCAGATAAACAGGCTTTATAATAAAAATGAAAACAAATTGTGATGTATTAAAGTGTAACAAATTTATTTCAGTTTCTGACTGAGTAAGCAGACTGTAAACCACAAAAATTCACACTGAAATAAATCTGTTAGCCTTTAAGGTACCACAGTTTTGTGGTTTTTTATTTTTATAATACATGTTGAAACAAACACAGCTACCTTGTTAAAAACAAAAGGAGTGGTGAGTTTGTCCTTGTAAAATGGGGTAGTGTTTAACCAGTCTTGAAAATGAGGGTATTATTACTGTCACTATTACAGTTATTTTCATTAATTTATATAACACTGTCAGTGCACATAGTTGTGTATACAGAAATGTTGATTATGGTTCATTAGGGGAGTGAGAGCAGCCTGACTGTTTCATAAAGCAACTATTTATTTTCTCTTGACGGCAATGTAACGAACACCAAAGTCAAATAAATTGTCTTTCTGAAAAAAGAGGAACTGATTGGGCTGTGTCGAAGTCATATTTCTTTTAAGTTCCTAATTAATATCCTGGTCCCATGGTGGATGCATGTTGTCAGTGTAGACAGTTTGAGCAAGGTGTTTTAGCTGTTGAAAGAGGTTTGGGTTGGAAAGGGAGTTCTTCATTACATATACAAGGAACACTCTTTTTCTTGTCTGTGGATACAGCCCCCAAGCAGGAGTTTTCACTTGATTTGCAGTATGCCTTTCATGCCAATAGTCCTGCAATAGTAAGACGTCACACTGCATTGCAGTTTGCATTTCCCTTCTCCCCCTTTTAAAGTAGGTCCAGTTCGAAGCTTTTCAAATCAGGAAATGTTTATTGCATTGCCAATGTCCAACAAATGCTTTGCTTTACCAACAAACCTGCTGAATGGGCCAGCATTTAAACAAAGCCTCAATTTTATCAGAATGAGTTTAAAAATAAAACAAGCCTAACATCTGAAACTATATTTTAAACCAGACAATCCATCATCTGTTCCTCTGATGTTTACACTCCAGAAAGAATGAAGTAATAATACTTTATGAAGTAAGCCATATGTTACAAAATATTACTGTGAAAGAACTAAGAAAGATCCCTAAATGTAACGATACATTGCTGGAGACCATGCTGTGATATTCCTCATGAATATGTATGGGTGTGAAAGACAATGAAAGACTATTGTGGTACATGATATGAACAAATAATAGTTTCCTTGTTATGATTTTTAAAAAGATGAAACATATCTGGCAGAAGTTGTTAAAAATTGTTCTGAAGTAGGGGCTTAAATAATTCAGGATTTATGTGTATGTGTCTTCATTGAGAGATCTGTTTGTATCAGCGCCTCATACAATTTCAGTTTCTACTTCATTTCCCTTTTTTAGCTCACAAAAAGGCTACAAGGTCATCCATACAGGTAAGGCAAGATTATCTGAAACGCTGATAATCAGTATTTAAAAATAAGGCACTTTTCTTTTTTGACCATTTAGGCTCATCACGCTGTTACATATTGATAAAGCTGATACATCAGTCCTACCGTTGCTCATGTTTAAAGCTGTATTCAAACCCACCTGTTAGGACGTGACTTTGAATGTGCTTCCCTTTGAAAACACTATGATACAGAGCCTCGTGGCGCAGTGGTTAAACTGCTGTACTGCAGCCAAAACTGTGCTCATGACCTGGGGTTCAATCCCAGGTAGCCGGCTCAAAGGTTGACTCAGCCTTCTATCCTTCCGAGGTCGGTATATGATACAGCTTCTTGCTATACAGTCATTTTTTATTTTTAAGAAATACTACTACATTACTCTTTAAAAGAAATTCCAAATTGGGTAAAGTGCATTTTTATATACCACAAGTGAAAGCCCCTTAGAAATGTTCTTACATATGCAGTCTCTGTGATTGGGCACGGACAAGGGAGCGAAGGGGGAAACTTTTCAATAGAAATGGATGTGGCATGCCAGAATAGAAATAATTTCTCCACAACCAAACAGTTCAGAATTGGAACCATTGCACTTCATCACTAAAAACATAGAAGGAAAATTTAAAGACTACTTTTAATTTTGTATTCTGGATTTGAATTATTTCGAGGGGATTGGACTTGTTTTTCTTTGTTTTGTTTGTTCCTTTGGATTTTCTTTTATTCTCATGGCTGTGGTGAAAGTTTTAGGAAAATTAGAACAAGTAATCCTTCTAATATGCCCAGTACTTGGACAACCATACGTTGTCCACATCTTATTTGTCATCTTGAAACTTTTTAAAATGTTTGTAACTCTTGTCAATAACTGCAAATCATGCTTGTCGCTGTTTTCCAGTGCCTCACAAATGGTTCGATGGCTGAAGTCTGTTTTGACTATTCATGCATCCTATCTTTCAACAGTAAGTGTACAGATTGTCCGATCTGTGTTTTGCTTTTTTATTATCCGTTAGTTGTGTTGAATAGAAGATAGCTTCCATAGCTTATGTTTCTTTTTCCTCGTCCCACCTTTACACACACACACACAGCTTCTCCCAATAGCCTCTTGTTGTGTTGAAGATAGCTTCCATAGCTTATGTTTCTTTTTCCTCGTCCCACCTTTACACACACACACACAGCTTCTCCCAATAGCCTCTTCTGCGCCCTATTGAACAGTAGTGGTTGTACTGTGCTAAAAGAGGTTGTTTAAAATAAGGGAGATTCTTTGTGCAGAGAGCAAAGAGGACAAGAGAAAAATAATTTGCAGTGGTAAAGCCCGGGCAGAGAGGTGTGGTATAGTTCTCATGCTGGATATTCAAGAAAGCGAAGCGCACACAGCAATTTCTTAAAAATAAGAGATGCCAGCACAACTAGTTAGCATGTGTATATGTGCTAAAAGAGGTTGTTTAAAATAAGGGAGATTCTTTGTGCAGAGAGCAAAGAGGACAAGAGAAAAATAATTTGCAGTGGTAAAGCCCGGGCAGAGAGGTGTGGTATAGTTCTCATGCTGGATATTCAAGAAAGCGAAGCGCACACAGCAATTTCTTAAAAATAAGAGATGCCAGCACAACTAGTTAGCATGTGTATATGTAAAAAGGAACAAGAGAAAAATAATTTGCAGCCCGGGCAGAGAGGTGTGTTATAGTTCTCATACTAGATATTCAAGAAGGCGAAGCACACACAGCAATTTCTTAAAAATAAGAGGTGCCAGCACAACTAGTTAGCATGTGTATATGTAAAAAGGGCTTGGGATGATAGCAACTTGCTTTGCCTGAAAACAGTTCCCTTTAAAGGGCCATCAGTTTTGTCCTTTAACAAACTTTTCATTTCCCTCCCAAGTTGCCAGATTTGGTTCCCCAACTAGGAATGCTATATCAGCTCATGGAGAGCAGAGTGAAGACCTTGCAGAAGCTCTCTCGCTTGCATGGAAAGCTCTATCTTATTGTTACCCAGGTGAGTCGAAGCTGATCGTGTCGCTCTCTAAAAGATGTGAATGTAGAATAGTGGTACGTAACAAGTCACAATGAGGTCTCCTATCCGAATGGTTGTTACATTGTAAGTTATTTATTACCGTATTTTTCGCTCCATAAGACGCACCTTTCCATAAGACGCACTGATTTTGAGTCGCAGCGTGTCGATCTCTAAAAGATGTGATTGTAGAATAGTTGTACGTTACAAGTCACAATGAGGTCTCCTATCCTAATGGTTGTTACATTGTAAGTTATTAAGTGTTTATACATCACTCTTCAATTAAAAAAAATTAGTGTCACTTAAAAATCAGCAATGGTGCAAAAAATACAGTAAGTGTTTATAATCACTCTTCAATAAAAAAATTAGTGTCACTTAAAAATCAGCAAAAAAAATTGTATGTCTTGGTAGTCATAGTTTTACAGCATAAATTCTCATATTGGAATAGGTTTGGGCTTTAAGTATTCTATTTTCTTTCCTAGCTGTGACTTTTCCATTTGATAATTTATGCTTACAGTCTTTCTTGAAGGAAGACACTTGTTTGAATAATGTTATAGCACTGGATGCATATCTGAAATAGAGAATCTTCTCGATCTTTAAGGCTAATCATTTTATTGCGACATATGCATTTAGAATCGCCTTTGTGAATTGCATGAAGTATTAATCCTCAACATATTTCATCTCGCCACTGTGGATAACACTGCCAAAATGAGCTCTTACTTAGAGGCGTTTATCACAGTAACACCGTGATATGTCAGTAGATCCATCAGTGTATCAGAGAAACATGCCTGAAAATTTTCTGATATTATTTTTTCTGATATTTATGTGATATTTATTTCACAAATACAATGTTTGAAATATGATATGAATTGCACAGGTACATTGGCACTTGCAGATTTATTGGCACTTCCAGTTTTTTAAACAGTTGCTTAAACAAAGGAGTTTTGTACTTGCAAAAATGTTACTGAGGTAAAAAAAATGTGAAGTTTATCTACCTTTCTTTCTTTTGAATGGTAGCTTTTCATTCCAAGTAGCATTTCATTTAATCACAGAGATTTTGTGAAGTAATACGAGTTCTGCCCTTGCATGATGACCTAATCATAATCCTTGTTGATGAGGCGGTGCTTTCATTTTTAGGTTGCTGCATTGGAAAAGGCTCAGGATGTGCCTGACGTTGACCAGACTGCAAAGCTGGTATATGAAGAAGGTAAGCAAAGTGACTTTTTGGAGATGCATGGGGACTCATCAGGAAATGTGGTGCGCCTTGATTGTTTCCTAGACTCTTGTGCCAAAGTAAAAATGATACATGGTCCAGCTTGGTCAAGCTGTCAAAAGAGCATTACACTAACTTTCCTCCCATGTTTCAGTCTGCATGTGGTGATGCAGTGGGGGACTGTGCCTGCTGGCCCCATCTTTAGTATTGAGCATTGTGTAAAGGTGCCACCCTTCAAGCATTCTCTTAAAGATGCAGATGTTGGAGGAGGTGGGGTGAAGAAGTATAAACCTTCCAGTTTTTAAGAGAAGCCTCATGGAGATCATGTTGTAAAGCACTCGGGAGACACTAAACAATATTTCATAGTAGTTTTTCTTGCAAAGTTCTTCAGTGTGTTAGAGTGCATTTCATTTGTATGTTTTTGAAAAGTCTACATAAAACACTTATGCTTATTCCTAGAATCATCAGAGGAAGGCTCAGATGATGAGATGGCTGTGGAAAAAGATTCGGATGTAAGTAAATTCCATCTATTCCCTTCCCGTTTGGTCACCAGGTGATTAATTGGCTGCAGTAACTAGGAAACACAGTAGAAAAGTGGAATAGTTGCAATCTGTATGAGTGGAAGAACAATTTGCACCCAAGGAACCATTGATTTTCAGGTCCTTTCTTATATCTGAAAAGAACTACAGTCATCATCACGTATCTTGTCACTCTCTTGCGAGAGAACTGGGACGAAGATGATGAGGGAGAAGCTGAGGAAAATGATGAGAAAGAGGATGCATCTGACGATGACCAGGAAATGGATGTCGATAAAGAAATCAATGGAGAATCAGATTTGGACCCAGAAAATGAAAGTGAAGAAGAATAACATACAGCTTTCAAAGAAACAAAGCTTCTTAAGTGCTGGCCACCAAAACTTTATGTCTGGATTGTTATGGTGAAAGCCGCCTGCGTCACACAAGCAAGTGCAAACAACACCTAGCCAGTGTGTGAGAGTATATTGGAATCCTGTGTTTCCAATAACAGAAAGTGTAAAAGTGCCAGCCTTTTTCTGTCCTATATTTTCTGGGATCACATTGAAACTTTGGCATAGTAGGCAAATTATCCCCATTACTTGGACATTCGTTTTGCATGTCAATTGGAATAATTTACCGAGGCCCTTTGGATGGTGAACTTGTTGCAGCTTTTTTGAAATTCTGATGAACTGAAGACCACTCTGTCTGTATCTTCTTAACCTACTTTAGTTAAGTACTTTTCCAGTTGGCATCTTGCTACATTTTTTGGAAGAGAATAAATATTTTTGTAAGACCTAAAACTTACTGTTGAATTTTCTTGATAGTTTTTTGTCTTCTTTCCCCATACATGTCCATTCCCTCCTAACAGAATTATTCATGTCTTGGCAATGACACAGTGCTAGCAAGGTTGGAAGCAGCAACATTTTAAAACCAAATGGACTTTTTGTATGTTTGTGCAAAATGTTCGCTTTTCTTGTACTTAAAAAAAAAGACTGGTGGCTCCCAACCTCTTCTTTTATTTGAGCTTGTATATAAATCAACGCTGACCCAGAGAACTGTCATCTTTGAAAGAGTAAGGATTAATGCAAAAGAATAATAGTGAAAAGGAAAGGAGGGCAAATGCTTGTTAATAATGTAACACAAAGCGTATACATTTATTATGAATTTTTAATCTTAGGGGCAGAACAGGGCTTGCTATTAGTTCAGTTAAGCTGAAGTGGTATAAACTATTTCACAGAGCAAGATTAACAAGGTTTTGAGCCATTCACCAATATAATGTACAGGTATATTTGTCTATAATTGGAACTGTTACAACCAAATATTGCCCTCATTTGTAAAATGAATAAATATACATTGCCTTTATCAAATACTAGTCCTGTCGTGTTGAGTCCTGGATTGGGTTCTTGCAGGTGGAGGTACTTTCTCACTCTTCAGGTAGCAAGTTACCAGACATGAGCTTTTAGAGAGTTTCCACTTATTTATAATTGCTTTGCTGCATCTCATTTGCTCTTTTTCCACCCTCTCTTTCCCTCCCTCCCTCTTTCCTTGCATGCATGTAGCATAACTTTTTTTTCACTTTTGGTATTCTCAAATAGATTGTGGATTTAGGATTTGTATGCCAGGGCTCCATCCAAAATTCTGCCAGTACTATACATAATTACAGTGGTGTCTCGCTTAACGAGCACACCGCATAACGACGAAATCGCATAGCGATCCGTTTTTTCAGATCGCTAATGCGATCGCTTAACATTTTTTAAATAGGGCTAAATTCACTTTGCGAAGACTGGTAAGCGTTTCGCTTACGGATCTTCGCAAAACGAAGCCCGACGATCAGCTGTTTTGGCCGCCGGAAGCCCGGAAATGGCCCAAAATGGCTGCGTGCAGCGTTTTCGCGCCCTCGTTAAGCGAGGCGAGGGCGCGAAAATGGCTGCCGGCCATTAAGAAGCTTCGCTGAACGGTGAGTATTTGGCCCATTTGGAACGCATTAAACCATGTTTAATGCGTTCCAATGGAAATCCCTGCCCCGTTCAACGATGCTTCAGCATAGCGAAGGTTAATCCGGAACGGATTAACCTCGCTATGCGAGGCACCACTGTATATCCTTCCATATGAATCCTTGCACAAGTGACTGTTGGTTTAGGACTGTTACATGTCAACTAATAAGCACATTTCTCTTTCAGGTCTATCCTATAGACTCTATAGGATATGGTGAATTATGTGAATTCGAAGCCATTTTTTTAAATTAAAAGTTATTTGTAGAGCTCAATGTATATTTCACTGATAGTGGGATGTACAGTTGGCTCTATAATGTGATGGATTGTCAGGGTGCTAAACAGTGTTTTATCTAACCATAAAGGTTGTCTCCCCAGATTCAGAGAAAAAATACAGTTATTTGTACGTGAAACTTGATTCCAAATATATACTGGGCACTGGCAGTCATCCTTCTAGCATGTTGGTGTTTTTAAAAGGGTTACCTTGCTATTGCCACCTTGATGTGTAGGATTACATTACCGCTATTGACAGCCATTATGGCTACCCTGTTGGCTGGTGATGAACAGCCAGTTGGGGAGGAATGGGAGCCCCCCCGATCTACATAATTTGAAATTTTAAAGAGAAAGGACCTTATAACAGCTGCACTGGCTACCAGATCTTTTCCAGGCCCAACTAAAAGTTCGGGTCATTGCCTTTTCAGTCCCACCACCTTTATATGCATGGCTGGTGATGACTTGAGAGAGCATATTTATTGTCTATGCTCTGAGAGTAGGGAATTCCCTTCCTTGGGAGGTTCAGCCTGGCAACTGAAGACCTACATCTTTAGAAAGGATTTTTGGGGACTCAGCAGGCAGTTGAGATGGGGTAATTTGGCAGGTTTTAAAAACGTTTATATTGTTCAAACGTTATAAAATATTTGTATGCTATAGTTTCAGAAATTTAATTTTAATTATTTGTGGTTTTGAAATATTTTTTGTAAGCTGCTATGGGTCTCCATAAGGGAAAAAAGCTTCAATATTATATACATATTGAAGTTAAATATTGGGGGAAGGGGGACTCAGGAGAGTGGATGCTTGGGCAGAAAGTAGAATTTGAATTCAGAGGTTTAGCATAAAAGGTAAGATGGGGCTGCAGGAAGACTGGAAGTTAGTGTAAGAGTGAATGAGCATTCATTTGAATCTGGGTGTGGATCAGTTACTATGAAGAGCCAATGTACTCCTTGCCCCATCTATGCTCCAGAATTTACTATTATTCAGTTGTATCTACTTAGTATTGGAACTGCATTTTCTCCAAGCCAAAGGAAAGGAGAGTGTTACGTCATAACCAAAAGTAAATGTGCTCATGTTTCTAACAGTGGCCATAATTGAATAGAGGAAAATGCAGTTATAGAGGGTAGAATCAGTGCAGCGATTTCATCTTGAAAAGAGACAAATTAATAATGCGGTCAGAAAAAAAGGAGGAAAGGCTCTATTCAGGTATTCCATTTTTCTCTCCAATGCAAGCAGGGGGGTGGTATATAGCTCTACGTACTTCTCTTTATAATTTTTTTTCGTATGGATAGCAGCAAGTATGTAAAGGAGATGTTCCTATTCACATGTAACTTTTCTATGTAAGTAACCCTGGAAAATCAGGATTCCTGCTCCCATGGAGAGCCAACACGTTAGCAAGAGTTCCTCCTCTGCAGATACATTATTCTCCTAGTGGAGACAAGTATGATGGTTTGTGGGGGGGTACATGTTCCTCTGTTCATGTACTGGAGGAAAGTATGTATGTAACAACTAAGTAGAGGTAAACTCTCATCTCGAGTTTTGCTATGGGCCATGTGAGCTAATCTCATGAGAAGAGGAGACTCTCGCTTTTTCCTTTGAAGTGCTGATTTGGACTTATTTGCTCCGTAAGTCTTTTTGCCCCACATACTCTTTGGTTCCCTGGTTTATGGCCGCTTCAGGACTGTTTAATAGGTATTTCTTGTAAATCGAAGACTCCCTTCACTGATGGGCACGAACGTCTGTATTGCCTGGGAGAGCAACATCAACCCCACACCTGCCCTCATTGTAAGAATCTGTCGAAGCCAGCTTTAAAATCTCAAGAACAAAAGCTTAAGGCTTTTCTTTGGAGTAAATCTCTTCCCCCCCCCAAGATGTCTACGGAACAAAACCCTTCTCTGATTTCCACTGCCCATACTGACTCCAGCACCCCATCCTTACCTCTTTTACCTTCAAGTTCTCCTCTGATGAAATCCTCTAAAAAGGCTGTCAAGAAGCCTTCAACTGCTTCTTATTCCAAACACTCTTCTGCTAACAACCTGGAAAAGAAAAATTTGGCTGGTAAATCCAATAAAAGCAAAAAAGACAAGCTCTAAAGACAGACCTCAAAATATTCCCCCGATCTCAGTGTCTGTGCCTTCTATACTAGAGGAAATGTCTGGGGATTTGCCTGGCCACGACTATGCCTCAGAGGGAGAGATCTCCACTCGACACCGTGCAAATCAGGCTTCGATGTTGATACCGAGCCTGCCCCAGTCTCCAGATCACACTCAGGCTGATATTGTATCCAGCCATGACTCTGCTCATTCAAGCTTTGTCTCAGCCGGGCGGACATTCATTGTGATGCGGTCTAATTCAGAGGAATCTGTGCGTCATGCGTCCCCCAGAAAAAAGACTGCTAAAAGGAAACATATTTCCCCCTCCCCAACGTCGAACATCAAGCCAAGAGGTCCTTATTCTGCCTCGGAGGTCTCGACACTGAGCCTCCTCTGAAAACAACAAACCCATATACATCAATGTCGAAAGAAAATCTAAGTGCCATCAGGATCATGACACCGAATATGAACTGAAAGACTTTAACCGAGAGGTACTTATTCTGCCTCGGAGATCTCTACGCTGAGCCTCCTCTGAAAATGACAAACCCATATACATCAACATTGAAAGAAAATCTAAGTGCCATCGGGATCATGACGACTCTGACACCGAATATGAACTGAAAGACTTTAATAAATGTAAAAAGGTTAAATATGTTTATGCCTCTTCTTCTGTGTCACCTTCACCGCCGAGGCATCGACATGACTATGACATCGAAGATTTGATGCCTAAGGCTTCCTGACATCGATCTTCTGTTCGACACCAAGGTTCCCGTACACCCTTAGTTACAGGTAGGTAACCACTTTTTGCTGGCTTATAAACTGACTTGTTCAATAATTAGGGTAATCAGGTAATTCAGAATTACTTGATGGCTGATAAAGAGGAGTAGAGTTTTCCAGAGTTTTCTTCTGTTTGCTTGCTTGCTTGTTTGTTTATCTGTCTAAAATATTTTTACCCTGCCTTTCCCAAGAAGGGCCCAAGGTGGCTTATAACATTAAAGACTGACAGAGTAGCGATAGCACAGGTATACACCAGGGGGGCGATAACCAATGCTGATAAAGAAGAATAGAGTTTTCCAGAGTTTTATTCTGTTTGTTTGTTTGTTTGTTTTTCTAAAATATTTTTACCCTGCCTTTCTCAAGAAGGACCCAAGGTGGCTTATAACATTAAAGACAATATATCAAAAAACAGTAATTATACAGTACAAACACGCAATATATCAAAAAAACAGTAATTATACAGTACAAACACGAAAAAAGATAAGATATCATCTCTAAAGATTAAACAAAATCAACACAAAAATGCATTCAGAGCAGTAAGGCACATCCATCCATTAAAAACTCCCCACTCAGACATCCAGTCATTAAGGGAAACCTTGCCTAAAGAAAAAAGGCCTGTGGGTGAACAGTAAAGATGAGGCCAGTCTGGCCTCCGGTGGGTGTGAGTTCCGATGTCTGGGAGCAGCAATAGAGAAAGGGCTCTTCCATGTCCTCACCAAAGACACCTGTGGGGGTGTTGAGACCGAGAGAAAGGCCTCTCGTGATAATCTTCACACCCAGATAGGATCATAAAGGGAGATGTGGTTGTTGAGATAGCTTGGACTGAAGCTATTTAAGACTTTATAGTTTAAACTCAGAAGTTGTTTGCCTTCTTTGAGGAGTGCTGTGAGACACTAGCTTATCCAAGACTGCATAGTTTAGCTCTTAACTCTGACAATACTTATTGTCATGTTACCAAACTGGATTTAACAAATCTATCAGGTTTAGCCCAAACCTGTCAAAGACAATATATCAAAAAAACAGTAATTATACAGTACAAACACGAAAAAAGATAAGATATCATCTCTAAAGATTAAACAAAATCAACACAAAAATGCATTCAGAGCAGTAAGGCACATCCATCCATTAAAAACTCCCCACTCAGACATCCAGTCATTAAGGGAAACCTTGCCTAAAGAAAAAAGGCCTGTGGGTGAACAGCAAAGATGGGGCCAGTCTGGCCTCTGTTGGGTGTGA